AGTACTGTATGATGCCACTTATATGAAGCACCTAGGGTAGTTAAATTCGTAGAATGAGAGAGTAGAATGGTGGTTGCCATGGGCTTAGGGAGGGGAAAAATGGAGAGCTTTTGTTTAACTGGTACATTTTCAGTTTGGGGATGAAAGAGTTCTGGACATGGATATTGGTGGTTGCACGACAGTGTGGATATACTTCATGCCACAGAGCTGTACACTTAAAGATGGTTAAGGTGGTAAATTTGGCTACATGTATTTTACTACAATTCAACATATCTATAAAATGTATCTATAGATTTTTAATAAAGAAGTTTTCTAATACAGTAATAATTTTTGTAAACTCTCTGAGACTGGATGAGATCATCAAGAGAGTGGGTATAAGCAGAGCAGAGGTCCGGGGACAGAGATGTGGGTCATCCACTGTCAGGGGAGATGAGAGAAGCAGCAAACGAGACTGAGGACCAGGCGAGCGAGAAGGACGAGGGGAGGAGGACGGGGCGCCAGGGCCACATGGGCTTCTGGATCCTGCTGATCTAGAACTCTTCCCCTAAAAGGGTTTTCTTCCTGGATTCAGTCAAGAAAAGGGTAATTCAGAAATATTTGGGAAAATTATGAAAACATAATTACTCATTTTTCTGTACTTTTTAGAAAGAAGATCTGGATATTGTATGTGAGAGGTTCACCACAAGTAAACTGCAGTCCTTTGAGGATTTAGCTCACATCTCTACCTATGGCTTTCGGGGCGAGGTAAGCTGAGGATTAAAGAGACTTGGAAAACATCCTCCTATGATGGTGGTTCTGCCATTTGTCAGCTTGTTTCTCAGCAGGTCAACCAGACATGATACTTTTTAATTGGTAAATACAAGCAAATGAGAACGGACTTAAATTCAGTGTGCCAAAACTGAGAATTGTTCATAAATACTTTATACACCATAAACTAGATACAGAGACACCCCCCCCACATCTCTTGATGGAGAAAGGCAGCACCACCTACCAAGTTTTCTTGTCCAAAACTCAGATGTGAATCTGATCAATACTTAGATCTAAGTACCAGTACAGAGAAGATACAGGGGACAAGGGAGCATGGTAAATGGTCCTGAGACTGGGAAACCACATGAGAAAAGACTTGTTTCCTTCAACAGGTAAACTGCAGAAGAAAAACATAGAGAAGGGAGCAAGAACCTGTGGCTTAAAAAGAATTTAAGAGACATATTAACCAGCTCCAATGTACGGCTCTTACTCGGATCCTGATTTGTGCCAACTGTAACATTTTTTGAGACAGATATTTGAACACAGATTGGTTATCTGATGGTATTAAGGAGAAATTATTATCTCGGTATAAAAATAGCATCAATTTTGTTGTTGTTGTTGTTTTGAAACAGAGGTACTGGGGATTGAACCCAGGACCTCATGCATGCTAAGTATGCGCTCTACCACTGAGCTATACCCACCCCTCTCATGGTTTGCTTTTTTTCTTTCTTTCTTTCTTTCTTTCTTTCTTTCTTTCTTTCTTTCTTTCTTTCTTTCTTTCTTTCAGTCCTTATGTTTTAAGTTGTATTCTGAAATATCTGTGAATGAAATTATGTGACGTATCATAGGAATATCTGATACAGAAAATGGATAAAAATATTTTTAAGATCAAAATAGGATCTTATATTTTTATGACAATACCCTATGGATATATTTTCATTCACTATGTATAGGCCTGCATAAATTTATAATGGCTGCATACTGTTCTGTTATATGTGTGTACTGTAGTCTATTTAAATGGTTTCCTGGTTAAGTATTTATTCTCCTTGACTTTTTTTAACTGCTTAATACTCTGATGAATACTCATGTATGTGTGTGTGTTTTGTTCAGTTATTTCCTTGGATAAAATTATAGAAATAATATTCATGAGTAAACACATGCATACTTTTAAAGCAGTTTATAGTTTCCTATAAACTGTCCCCCAGAATGACCACAACCTTAACGGTTTAAAACAACACAAATTTGTTATTACAGTTCTGGACATCAGAGGACATGGGTGTCACTGGGTCTCAGTGTACTAAAATCCACATGTGTTGGCAGGGCTGTATTCCTTTCCAGAAGCTCTGGGGAACCAGAGAAACTGGAGTAGTTATTAGTAGGGGAATGAGAGTGAAGCTGGAGGAGGGCAATGGAGCCAGTTACTTTTCATTTTAGGCCTTTCTGTAGTTTTTGAATTTTTTATCATATTTTACTTTCATTCAACTTTTTTTTTAATTAAAAGGCAGCTGTGGCCCACTTACTGCAATTTAGATCAAACCTGGTTGGCCTCAAGCACCCTATGGCTCAGAGTGAGCCCCAGTTTGGTCCAGGTATGGGCAACATCAGACAGTATAACCTGAGGCTCCCCGGCTTTAAGTGTTTCCCCGGTCCGCCCTAGCAAAGCAGTGCCGTTCTGACTTTGCAACTTCTGAGTCAGTTCCTAAGCCGGTGACCTCCTGGAGCCTTAGTCCAGTTGTAGGGTATCTTTGGGGTTGTAATTAGACCGTGATTAAACAGGGAAGATTGATTGAGGGAATGCTGTGTGCCGTCCATGGTTCTCAGCACTTTGTATGTATTAACACGTTCACTCTTGACAGCTCTGCAAAGTAGCTTCTATTATTAGCACCCTGTTTTACATATGAGGAAACTGACACTGAGAGTTTAAGAAACGTGACCAGAGCACACAGTTAGTAACCCCCTTCCCCATCACAGTGCCTGGGTTTCATTTTTATATGCTATGGTGTCCTTGTGAAAGAAGATGCAGATTCCAGAGGGCTAGCAAACCAATCCTGATGTTAAGGGGAAAAGAGGTCATTTTTGTTTGTTTGTTTTCTTTTGTTTGTCTTAATTGCATAATTTAAAATTTATGTTTCTAAATATGTAATTGGTTACAGAAAATAGTTTTGAATAACACCATACAACCTTGTCTGTTTGGGGTGACTCCATTATCCATTTCTGAAGGCAAGCTTTGAAAATTGTTAGAAGACAAATTACTGAGAATATTAAATATGGCTGTAACTCTTCACCTGAGCACAGTTGCTGTTAAGGTTAACATTAATGCTCGGGTGTCTTTCCTTTTGGACTTTTATGTATATATAAATTTCTCTTGTTCTAATTATGCTACAGATTCAATTTGATATCCTCCTTTTTTTTTTAATGTCATCAAAGTGAGTGAGCAAAGTGAGTGTCATTTGTTAATACAAAACAGAAGCAGCAATTTAGATAACTTCTCCCTTATGATGTGACAGTGGTGACCCAGTGATGGGTTTTTCCTTCCCTCCGTGTTCTTTTCTTCCATAGGCTTTGGCCAGCATAAGCCATGTGGCTCACGTCACCATTACAACCAAAACAACTGATGGGAAGTGCGCATACAGGTACAGTGCTGTCTTCTGCTCTGCGTATGTATTCATCATGAAATGTGCTTTTGCCTGCGTCTCAAAGTAATCCTATCTAAACACCAGGGTTGTCTCTTTTGGCTGAGATCTTAGGTAAAACTTTTCTCCTCCCTTTGCATTAGTTGATAATCCACGGGAACGATTATAGGTAATAATCTTACTTCATGGACTCCTAAAAGGTAATGGATTACAAGTGCCAGCAAGATTCCTGTATGTTTGTTTTTTTAATTGTGCTTTTCTGTTCTTTTTCTTCTTCTTTTTTTAATTCTTATTTTTTATTGAAGTGTAGTCAATTTACAGTGTTAGTTTCAGGTATACAGCAAAGCGATTATTAAGGTATACATATATATACATATATATGTATGTATATTTTCAGATTCTTTTCCATTATGTGTTATTACAAGAAATTGAATATAGTTCCCTGTGCTATACAGAAGGTCCTTTTTGTTTATCTATGATATATATATATATATATATATATATATATAGTAATCACACCTCGGTTTTTATAAGCTCTGGCCATTAACTAGTGGAAGACAAGGATTCATGCCAAAAAAGAGAATTTATTTTATCATACAGATTGTTAGTTAATATAGAAAATGACTTCAGCAAACGGCAGTTCTGCCTTTTTCTCAGTCTTTAACAGACAAACATGTGAAGTTTTGGAAGGTGGAGCATTTCAGAGTGTATAGCACTGATGCTGGTGGGGGTTGAGTTGGTGCAAATTATAGTAGCCCTCAGATTGATTTGATTGATCCCTTCTCACAAACTGGGGAGACCCTTGTTGGTGAATGTCTTCCTACATAGCCTGGGACACAAGTTCCATTTCTTCTGGGGCGTTATGTCCCTCTAGTGGCTCCCCTTCCATGGTAGGATGGAATCTAGAGTCATCACCGTGGCAACCAGTACCTTCCTGATGTGCTCACCTTTCCAGCTTCTCCCCTCCACACATCCTTATCTGCCACATAGTCTAAAGCTTCTATGCTTTTGTTTATGTTTTTCCCTTCCTGGATGGTTTTCTCTGCTCTCTCCACCTGAAACTGGTCCACTCTAGAGCCCAGGTGAATTGTCATCTCTTCTGTGACAGTTTCCCCCACCCCTACCCCAGACTGGATGTTTTCCTTTTCCAGATCACTTAGCACGTTGTTCTGCACTTCAGGTGAATGTCTGTGCCCTCACTAAATCAAGAGTTTTCCTAGGCCTTTCTTTATTACCAGGGCTTCTGTAGGCCTTATTCATGGTAGCTCCTCAATAAATGATTGCAGCATTACTGAAAACATTTTACTGTCATCTTAGGCAATGGCAAAACTATTGTTCCTAGCTCAGAATTAAGGAACTAAAAAGCAATGTTTGCTAAAAGAACAGGGATTCCCCCCTCCTTTTGTATCCAATTAGAATAGTTGTGGAAGTGGCAAAATAAAGAGGAAAATGGTAATTAAGCCAATATGCAACATAGCTATATTTTAGTCTATCATTAATGTAATTTCAGTTTTTACCCTCTAGAGGAGGTACTGGGGATTGAACCTAGAACCTCGTGCATGCTAAGCGTGCACTCTACCACTTGAGCTATAGGAGAACTCCCCAGTTTTTACCCTTTAGATAAGTATTCTACCTCTATTAGGTATTAATCATCTCTTATATTTTCTGATTAGAGCACAATACTCAGATGGAAAGCTGAAAGCACCTCCCAAACCATGTGCAGGCAATCAAGGGACCCAGATTACGGTGAGAATGGTACACAGGATGGGAAATTATTGAAAAAGAGCTTTGTATGAATAGTGAAATAAAAACCAAAATTGTCTCTGAGTTCTCAAAGTATTAATAAAATGAATTTGTACTAGGTCATTGAAGTCCCAAGATACCACCCTGTAAGGAAGAGAAATGATTGTTGGCTTTTGTGGCATGGCAGGCTGCTCATCCCATCCTAATTTTTAAGAGACTGGGAGATTCTTCTACTGAGATGGCAGAAATCGGTGGCAGGGTAGCTGGCATTGAAAGAACCTTAAGCTTGTCTCCAGAAGACATCAGTCAGAGTTTGAGCCTTGATACTCAGTGGTTGTGTATCCAGAGGAAAGTTATTTAATGCCTCTTAATCTCACTTGCTCATCTGTCGGAGAATAATGGAGTGAAAAATACCTGTCCGCTCACTCAGAGGTTGTTGGAGTAACACGATTGTATCATTAGTCAGGAGAAGGTCTGTTGCGCTGCCTTATTTCTATGGTGCCATGTTTGGTCTCTTCCCATTCCAAGCACGCCACTGCCGTGTTAACGCATCCCACCCCTCTGCCCCAGCCTTGGCCAGAGCATGTCTCGTCAAAGGCTCTAACCCCTGGGCTTAATGGGCAGGCAGCGGGCAGAAATGAATGTGTACTTCACAGTGCATGTTAAGGGGAATATTGTACCAGGGTGACCACAGTGTGATTTCCAAGAAGATTTAAGAAATTTTATAATTACTCTTAGTGTGAAAACTATTTCTGAATACCATGTGGTATTAAAATTATTTGTGAGTTTATGTTTGCCCCACTAACTCTTGTGCTATCCTGGGCAGTACTGTGCTTTATTTGTCTTCGTATTCCCAGCACAAGGCAAAGAGCCTGATGTAGAGAGAGCCCCCAGTACCTCGCTGACAAGTCGGAGTGAAGTGGGAGGCAAGAAACTACCCTTTTATTTCTTTTGTTAAGGCTGCTTACAACTGTGTTGGTGATAAATATAGTTGGATTCTCTGCCTTAAGACCCAGCTTAATTTCTTTATACTTCTGTGGATTTACAAGAAAAATCAATCTTCTGTTCAGGTGGAGGACCTTTTTTACAACATATCCACGAGGAGGAAAGCTTTAAAAAATCCAAGTGAAGAGTATGGAAAAATTTTGGAAGTTGTTGGCAGGTACCTTCCAAAATCTGGGCATGGGTCTCTGAATCAGTCTCTCACCAAAGAAATGTGTTCCAGTGCTTAGAAACTGAGAATGGTTGCTGAGCTAGGTAAATAGCAATACTAGCCTACAAATTATTTCTGGTCAAGGTTTAGCCACCAATTCTAGCTTTTCCCCCATGTCCCCAGAAGAGAGCAGTTGGTCTCTGTATCAGTGAGGGTTCTTCTGTGGTGGGCAGCAGAAACTGAATGTAACGAACTTGAGTCGTAAAGAAATTTATTGAAAGGCTAAGAGCGACTCACCAAGTGGAAAGTGTGGACAGCTGCTCCTTGAGGAGAACCAGAAGCAGGGTGGCTTCAGGGGTTTGATGTAGTGACCCTGTCCCACCTGTTTCCATTGCTTTCCTGACTCTGCTCAAGAGTCTTTCCCAGGAGAGTATATCTCATTGGTGTGCGTGATAGTCCCCTCAGCACATACCCACGTCTCGAGAAGATTTCTCGATTGGCAGTCTGCATCTATCAAGTGGAATGGGGAGGAGGTAGTGTCCCGGAGGAGGACTTGGGGCTGTTAACAGGAGAAGGGACACAAGGCAGTTGAAAACAGCATTATGTCCAGGAGAGACTGTCTGCTAATACAGTGGCCCCAGCATGGCTCTCTGAGCCTGCATGTCCTTGAATTGTAGCAGAGCTATATTAACTGTTTCTCAGTATTGCTAAAAAATCTAAAATCTGTTAAACATTTGCCTCTAATAGAAAGGAACAGACTTATACATCAAGTTCTCTGCTTTTTTCCCCTGGAATTGTATAAATCAGTATCAGAATGTTAATTATCTCCTGGAAGTAGAGGAGTTCTAGTTGACCGTTTGGGTTCTAGGTGTGGTAAGTGAATTAATTGTTACTGAGTAAGTGCATCTCACTAGACACAATCCTTCAGTTCGTGGGGCCCACGAGGGAGAAGTAGTAAATGTGGCAAATGACAGCCAGCTGAGAAAAGGCTGGGACATACTGAACGAGACCTCTGGTGGAGGATGAAGCTGGTGTGGTAGGGGAGTTGGGGGGCTCTGAGAGAGAATAACAGTGCAGGGGGTGTTCAGGCTACGTTCTCAAGACGTTCTTGAGGCAACCCAGACCTTCTGAGTCTGTGAAAATAAAACTAGGCAAGGAGGAGATGGTGTTGAAATAACCCTGAGTCTAGCCAGCAACGTACAGGGGCAAAGTGGAACCCTGGCTTTGTTCAGTTCTGCCACATTTAGCATTGGTATCTCCATGCAGTCTCTGCTGGCCTATTTCCCTGTGGACAAATTATATTTGAAGATATTTTTGTTTGTTTATATCTTTGTTCAGACCACTTAATTCCACCAATTTGTGTAACTAAAAGGGGGCTCTGACACGTACTGTGCCTTGGCCAGTCGTTTTTACTGTCTTGTTTTTTCTTTGCCAGGTATGCAATACACAATTCAGGCATTAGTTTCTCAGTTAAAAAAGTAAGTTCTTGATTTACAGGGGATGGGGATGTGTTACAAGAGCAAAAGGACTTTTGTTCGTTGGCCGGGGAGGCAAGGTTGTGGTGTCTCAGTCAGCATGGTGAGACAGTAAACTGGATCTCCTGTTGTGTTCATCAGCAAGGTGAGACGGCGACTGACGTCAGAACACTGCCCGGTGCCACGACCGTGGACAACATCCGCTCCATCTTTGGCAATGCTGTTAGCCGGTATGTTGATAACTTTTTAAACTCCTCTGCATTTCATCCCATTATTTAGGGATCTGTCCAGATAACCTCTGCCTTAAGAGTTTGCTTTAACTGAACATGCAGGCTTGTGAGCATGCTTCAGATTACTTCGGGTATCAGTGCTTCTTGGGTGCACATCATCTCCTTGATGCTCTGGCTATAAATCAGTGCATTCTCTCTAGGTCTCTGTCTTCAGAATATTTGTAGTGTAGAGGAGTGCTCCCTCTTTTTCTTGTATTTTCATTATCATCACTTTAGGGTTGCATGCATTATCATTTGGTAGTTAGTAATTGCCTCCCATTTTTCAGGCTTTGTGCCAGAAGTTAAGGATACAAAGACAAAGAAAATATTTCTGCCCTTAAAGACCTTCCTGTCTGGTGGTGAGCAGATTAGTGTTACCAAATCCTCGTTGTCAAGGAAAACCCTAAGTGGGAAGATTGCTTGCGTTACAGCTTCCTCGATACTCCCCTCTGCAGGGGAAAATGCAGACTCCATCCCAGATCTGTAGTTTAATCTCAGGACTTTGCAAGACCCAGAGTGCCTGTGTCATAATCTGAGGGGAAGAATACTAAGGGCCTTCTGTGTGCCAGGCATGCCCTGCATGCTGGGGTACACAGATGAATGACACGGCTCCTGACTTCACTTTTTCTAATAACCCATAGGCAGGAGCAGTAGTCCCAGAATCCAGTTTTCTATTTGGAAGGACAGATTACTCTTTGAACAAGACCAGGTTCCTAACTAGGGAACAGTTAGTTTGCTTTCAGTTACCCTTTTCTTATTAATTAAGTGTTAAGAAATTGTGGTTTTTTTTTTTCAGTTGTGCTCTCAGAATGAAGAGAAAGCTCTATTGTACAGTGATACTTTTAAGGGCCTCTTGACCAAATTTTAAGACTCAGAATTAGTTATTATGAAATTCCTGGGGACTATAAGAGATTGGCAGCTCCATGGAGCAGCAGTTCCCAAAACATGTTTCCAGAACACCAGCCTCTTGAGACATTTTGGGCAGAGAGGGTTTGCTGGTTCACTGTGTGGGGGCAGGAAGCTCTGGAGCTGTACCCCCTGCTCAGAGACTAGGGGCACACACATCATTCACTGCCTGAAGAGCTTCCACCATCCAGCCCGCAAGTGCTTAATGGGTGCCCGCTGTCTGCTGGGTGCTGTGCTGTGTGGTAGAGATATGTAGTAGGGAATAAAGCAGAAACGAGTCATACCCTTGGAGGACTCATGTTCTAGTTGGAGACCCAAGAAAGAATTGTGCTGTTCTGTGCATTACTGACTGTGCTGGATGCCTCAGAGGAAAAGCATAAGGTAGAGGGATCCCTTGGTGGTCAGGGACAGGGACTCACAGAAGATTTAAGGAAGTGAGCGCTGAGATCCTAGGGATAAGGCAGAATTAACTCACCAGCAATAGGAACTTTCGGGCAGAGGGACCAGCCCTTGGGGAGGCCTTCAGGCAGAAATGAATGTGGCTTGTGTGAGGAGCTCTTTTCACCTGTCAGCCTCCCCTCGTGGTGCCTGTCAACAGAGTAAGGGCTTCAGCAGAGACAAGTTCTTTGGAATCTCATCTGGGGGTCTTGGTTACTAAGATACATAAAAGTTTTAGCAAAATAAGGTCTCAGAGCCTGGACTCGCCGTGTCCCAGCAGTTACAGCAGTGCTTGGCTAGTAGCACGAGGGCTTGAAAACACTGCCTAGTGGGGTAGGTGGATGGATGGTTGGACAGATGGTGGATGAGTGGTTGGACAGACAGATGGGTGAGCTCAGAGGACCTCAGTAAACCAAGTCTTCAGGGTCCTCGTTTGGCAGAGTTGGTATATGAGAAGGAGCCCTGATTTTTCCAACTCTGATTCTTTAAAATGTTTGGATTTTTCAGTTTTTTCAAAAGCCTCAAAATTTCTCTTTTTTCCAACCAGAGAATTGATAGAAGTGAGATGTGAGGATAAAACCCTCGCCTTCAAAATGAATGGCTACATATCCAACGCAAACTACTCAGTGAAGAAGTGTATCTTCTTACTCTTCATCAACCGTAAGTGAGAAAGAGCCAAGTGGGGACATCTGTGCACAGGGACCTTTGGGGTACCATGGAAATATTCCTCATTCACAGGTTTGATCATACCCAGGGAAACCTCACACCAAAATGTGGTTTAATTAGGAAGTATTTATAATTCCTCCCCTAAATCCACTCAGCCCTCCCACCCGTGCTCATTGCTGGCTCACAGTTGTGGAGTCTGGCTCTTGCCTCTGAGAGGGAGCCCAGGAGAGGGCATCCCAGGCCCCTGTGAGCCAGACCCACCCCTCATCTGCTGCCATCAGCGCCTTCCCAGCAGGTCCCAGACAGATCTTTGTTCTTTCCCGAGATCAAGGGCCACATTTGGAAATTGCACAACAGGGCAACAGGGAGAGGGGCCTTCAGGTGCAGGCAGTGGGATTTTTTTTGTTGTTTTTGAATGTACTGAATGCCACTGAGTTGTTCATTTTAAAATGGTTAATTTCTAAATTGTGAATTTCACCTCAGTAAATTATTTCAATTAAAAAAAGATGGAGAAAAAATAAAGTAAATTTACTGTATAGCACAGGGAACTGTATTCAATATCTTGTAATAAACTATAATGAAAAAGAATAAAAAATACAGATATATACTAAAAAAAGAAATTAGCTGTTAGCTTTATGGGTGCTCCCTTGTAACTGACTCTGTTTATCTCTTGCTGCCGTTAGAATTCTCTTTTTATGTTTAACTTTTGCTATTTTAATTATAATATGTCTTGATGTGGGTCTGTTTTGGTTTATCTTGTTTGGGACCCTCTGTGCTTCCTGTGCCTGGATATGTTTCCTTCTCTAGGTTTGGGAAGTTTTCAGCCATAGTTTCTTCAAATACATTTTTGATCCTCTTTTTTCTTTCTTCTTCTGGGATCCCTATTTGCATATGTTGGCACCTTTTATGTTATGCCATAGGGGTGAGGAGGGTATAGCTCAAGTAGTAGAGTGCGTGCCTCGCATGCATGAGGTCCTGGGTTCAATTGCCAGTACTTCCTCTAAAAAATAAGTAAATAAACCTAATTACCCCCCCCACCAAAAAAGTTTTTTTTTAATGATATATTACTGTTAAAGTGAAGAAAGGGAATGCTAAGCCCTTTGAGATTTTTCTTTTTAAAGAATGAGTTATTTACGGCATAAAGAGCAGGACTAGAAATCAGGAGGAAATAAACAAATCGATTTGGAGTTTCCTCAGATTCCTTTCCAAGCTTTCTCTGCTGACATAGTGTTGACATGATTGCTACCTATTAAGTAAATACTACTTTGCATTCTGCTGCTTTTTGTTTAACTGCACATTGCATGGTCTTGAGAGACAGTGACAGGGCAGCAGTCCCAACACCATCTGACTCAAGTTTTTCCTTTTCATCCAGAAACACACCACATCATTCCATTTGTTCTTTTCTTACTGTTTTTAATCGTACAGGTCCTTTACCTTTATTGTTTAATTTGTATTTTTTTTTAATTTTTGTTTTGTTTTGTTTGATTGCTATTGGAAATGACATATTCTCCCGCCTTCCACTTCTAGTGATAACCAGCTAGAGATGTCCCAAATTACGCATATTTTACAGCAGTTGTTCAAAGCAACGTGGAAACAGTGAAGAGGGAGCCAATATTCTGCAGACACATTCTGTTAAACTGACTTATTGGCAAGGTCTTTTCCCACTTCATTAGGAAGGACTTGAGCCTGACGTGCAGCAAAGCTTACTTTAATCAAAGTTCAGAAAATGTTTTTCATTTATTTTTTTACCCTAACCATGAAGAGAAACTGCTTTGTAACACACATGTTGGCTATAGAATAGACAAGCAGAAATTAGAGTAAGTGCCGTCTGAGTGGCTCACTCCGATGCCTCTGGTGGGGCTTTTTACCACACCAGCTCTGCGTTAACATTAGCTAATCTGGTCATGATGCCAAGTTCCCAGGAGCAGAGAGACAGCAGGCTCTTATGTGTGTCATCCAGTTATCTCACACTGGGCAGGCTCACTCAGATGATAGGAACAAGGAACACTCCTTTGGCATGTCTCAAGTTCAGAAATCTCAGCAGAGACACTCCAGCTGTCCTTTGTCAGGTTACATAGCCCAGCGACATTACTGAGGCGGCTGTGGATGTATGAGCACTCCTTGTTGATAGAATTACGGTCTCTCTTCTCATTGGGAATGAGAAAATATGACGTATCCCTGGCTGCACCAACGCAGGACAACAGATCATCAGCAGGTCATCTGTCTGGGGAGAAAGGAGAGCTGTGGTTGTCTGAAAATAGATCTTCCTCTGATTTTAGCCTTGTATCTCCCAGCTTTCATCATTTTCCACCCCCTCAAGCCTGCCTCATTTCCTAAATTACCCTCAGTGTGCGTTCAGTTATTTGTCCCACCTGAAATGCCTGGAAAGCATGCTTTTCCACATAAGTACTCCGTTTGTCTGCCCACCCCCCCCCGTCAGGGCTCCCTGAGCTGAAGTAGCTGCTCCCTCTCCTCATCACTCAGCACACGCGTCTCCCTCATGGTCCTTCCACCGTGAGTTGGAATTAGTTTATCCACCAGCGTTTGTCTCCCAGCTCGTGGCACACGTGGTAGGTCTCCAGGGTGGATTTGCAGAATGATAAGTCTGAGCAAGGGCACGTGGTCCACCTGGGCTCGCTGGGGAAAGGGAGTGGGGGGGCGAGTTGACTGTCCTGTTGTGTCTCTGCTGCTCGGGTGAGACGAGAGTCCCGAGGGAGAAGCTGGGGAGTCGTGATATAGAGGGGGCCCTTCCTCCCTGGGGGACTGATGTGGCTGTCACTCCAGAGGCATTCTTGAGCTGATTTCATGGTATGGTGTGAATGTGTACCTGCCTCTCGGGACAGATCTGAGCTAATTGCTTTCCCTTTTAAAATTTTTTAATTTATTTTTTTAATTGCGGTATAGTTGATTTACAGTGTTAGTTGCTGGTGCCTTTTATTTTTTAGATCGTCTGGTAGAGTCACCGTCCTTAAGAAAAGCCATAGAAACGGTGTACGCTGCATATTTGCCCAAAAACACGCACCCGTTCCTGTACCTCAGGTAATGCAGCACCAAACTCCTTGCCCAAGACTCACAAGGAAGAGAAATTCTGTCCAGCTGTCTCCTTTGAAAGAGATGGACTTGCTAATTAGCCCAGTCAGAGTGAATCCCTTACCCCACTGGCAAAAGATATTCGTCCCTTTCTACAGGGGAAAGGCAGAGTTCTCCTTTATTTATTCACTCCTGCCACAGAATCTGACCGAGAGCCTCCCTTGTGCCAGGGACTGTGTCAGTGAAACAAAGGTGGATAACATGGCTTGCCCCTGAGCCAGGCAGAACCTGCCTGAACCTGGCAAACAAACCATTCGCCTTGAGGGTCCATCCAGGGCCCTCTACCGACAAAGCCTCACACTGCAAAGCTCTATTGTCAGACCCAGCAGTGAAGTATGATGGATTTGGAGCTCAGGCAGCAAGTTGGTAGCAGGTACAGCCTCCAGCCTGACTTTTGTGCTGCATTTTAATGATAGAAGTTCTCTCACATATTTTCCTTTTTTTTTTTAATTGTAGTATAGTCAGTTATAATGTATCCGTTTCTGGTGTACAGCATAACTCATGTTTTGATCTACATGTAATACTGAATAGTCAATAGGGGATAGGTTCATGACCATGATCTGGAAAAATTAAGCACCTTGCCCTGGGTTATGTAATAAGAAATTCCACATGATGGTAATAACTGCTAATGTATAATAAACTGCCTGGTACATGCAAAGTGCTTTACACGAATTGAATCCCCACCATGTGTTATGTTCAGTTCACAGGTGAGGAAACCCAGGCAAAGAAAGATGCTCCAACTTAGCCATGGCCACTCAGCATTAAGTAGCAGAGTCAGCATTTGAACCCAGGTCATGCAGACTTGACCCTGAAGGCTTGACCACTGTGTTTAGGCCTCCCCATGTCTTCTGGCCACCACATACACTGTGAGTGAATTTTCCCATATTCCCCACCATCTGAGGTGATTGTTCTCTTTTTTTCTGCCAGTTTAGAAATCAGCCCCCAGAATGTAGACGTCAACGTGCATCCAACGAAGCACGAAGTTCACTTCCTGCATGAAGACAGCATCCTGGAGCGTGTGCAGCAGCACGTTGAGCACCAGCTCCTGGGCTCCAACGCCTCCAGGACGTACTTCACCCAGGTAGGGCACCTCTCCCCGCTCATCTGCCACCTTAAAGCATGCCCCGCCACACGTGAGGGCCCAGGTTCTTGCCTGTTGCTTGAGGACTATGTCATTATTACTTTGGTAGTTTTCTTTCAGCAACATTTCCTTCTTTGAACCCAACTGTGAAGGTTTTACAATGTTGTCTCTGGACCTGGAGTCCTGAGGCCTGAGCTCTTCTCTCTGCCTCCTTCTGGTCCTCAAGACCACCTTCCTAGGAAGGCGAGCTGTCTACAACAGAGAAGGGCACCTCTCCCCTGCATTCTCCTCAGAGACCTTCAGAGGCTGATCCCACGTACCCAGGGCAGAGGGCAGGGGCTGGCTCGGGGAGGCCATTGCCAGAGCGGGGCCTTTGGTGTCAGACCTGGGTTACTGCTATGTGACTCACCCTCCCTGGCCTCCATGTCTCCCTCAGTAAAGGGGGAACCAGTCACCCCAACAGCCATGGACAGTTCCAAGTAGTTAGTGAATAGCAATTGCATAGTCTAGTCCAGGGCCTGGCACCATTCATCTAACTACATTTAACCAGGTTCTAAGTGCTTTGATTCTAAACTACTCCCTCTCTCTGGGGCCTCAGTTTTTCCATCTGTAAAATAAGCAGGTTGATAACGTGATGTCCAGTGTCCCGTCCCAGTTCTGAGGTAGTGTGATTCTGGCCAGTCCTGTCTGTATTCATAGTGAGCATGTGTCCATCAGAAGCACAGCAGACACCGAAACTATGCAAATGGAAACATCTTCCCCGTTAAATTGCTCTGGGTCCTGCAAGCGGGAAGCCAACTTCTGTGAGTCCTACTTCTCAGAAAACTTTTTAAATTACCAAGCAGATGAGTGCTTCCCAAAAGCACTTCCCATGGTTACCCCCCTGGAAGGGGCCTAGATGGGAGACAGTGGGGCACTGGCAGTGAGAAGGAACGCAGGCAGGGTGGGCCGTGCACCTGTAGGTTGTTGGGGCTGAGGGTGGGGGTGGTGTGAGTGTGAGCCCTCGGAGCATGATCTGGTGGTACAGGGAAGTGCTCGGTAGCTGTTAGGATTTTTTTTTTATCCCTTGTTGTTGCTCACTTAGCCTCAGCACCCTGTAGTGCTTGTCCTCTGTCTCCCTCCCCAGATATGCACGGAGGCTTCCCAATGGGTGGGGCATTGTGGGTGCCTGGGGTTCCAGCACAGACAGGTTCCTGGCTTCACTGAGAGCTCACGCTCTTCTAGAGTCTACATCCCACGACAGAGACAAACAGGGAGGAGGGTGGAGGGCCTCCTGGCTCAGGTTTGAGCCTGAGGGAGGCGAAGGCTGGGACCTGAAGCCTGAGAAGGAACTAGGTGGACAAAAGGGGATGAGGAAGGAAAAGGGTGTTTCTGGCAGAGGGAAGGGCTAGGGTAAAGGCAATATGTGTTTGAGGATCTGAAAACTGAGCATGGTGAGTCCAGTAATCTCCGGTAGCTGTCTCTAATGGCTGCCGAGAATCACCTGGGGGACTTTAGGATTTCCCGGGGCCCTCCCCAAACCAATAAATCAGCCTCAGGGGGCGGGGTCTGGACATAATACTTTGTGAAAGCTTCCCTGGGTGCTGTCGGGGGCAGCCAGGGGTAAGCAACGCTGGGCCTGGGTGGTGCAGGCCTCTGCTCCCTGCAGAGTTCAGGCCAGATAGAGGGGTTTGCAGCAGCACGTTGAAGAGCTTAGACTTCAACTTGAGAGGAATTGACGGGATCTGGTTTGCATTTTGTGAGGAGTGCTCTGGCTGCAGCGTGGAAGACGGATGGGTTGGAGAGGAGCAAAATGGAAACCCGCAGTGATTTGGGAGAAGTTGAGGGCCAGGGGGCAGGTCTGGGCAGAGGATGGGGTTCTGTTCACTAATAGTTGAAAATCTGGAATTGCCAGGCCCTGAAAATAGGTTGGGTAGTTGGCAGTGGGAGGAGAAGTCCGGAGTGTGAGTTGTAGGTGAGGCAGCTGTCCTCATCGAGATCCTAGGGCAAGGGTTTACCAGAGACCCAGGAGGGCGTCTGTGGCTCCCCCGGAAGAAGAACCTCTTGGCTTCCCTCCTGTCTTATCCTGTGAGCCAGATACATTTATCTAGATTACATTTTAGTTCCCGGAAGAACTGCAGAGTCCTGACTAGTATGTCTTCAAAAGGAAGGTGGTTCTACAAAGAATCTACCTAGAGAGGAACAGACCAAGGCACATAGTCATCAAATTGACAAAAATTAAGGATAAGGGGGAAATATTAAAATTAGCAAGAGAAAAGGAACAAATGACATACAAGGGAACTCCCATAAGGTTATCAGCTGATTTTTCAGCAAAAACTCTACAGGCCAGAGGGAGTGGCCCAATATGTTTAAAGTGATGAAAGGGGAAAACTTAACAACCAGAAATACTCTATCCAGCAAGGCTCTTGTTCAAATTTGATGGAGAAATCAAAAGGTTCACAGACAAAAGCTAAAAGATTTCAGCACCACCAAACCAGCTTTACAACAAATGTTAAAGAACCTTCTCTAGTCATCAAACTGTAAGAAAAGAGAGCAAAAAGAAGAAAGGGGAAAAAAAAACCTACAAAAGGTTACTTTGGCAATTGGAGGTCTTTTATGATTCCGTATACATTTTGGAATTGTTTGTCTTAGTTCTGTGAAAAATGTGAATATTTTGACA